TTTCAAGTCAAATGACTGAAGAAGAAAAAGTTAAAGGGGGGGGGATTAAAAAAATAGGCTTAAATGCATGCAGTGCATCTATGTTTAATTATCGAAACCCAAAAACGGTAGTTAAATAAGTCTGCAATATTTTCATTGCTCTGTAAATTGTATATTGTAGAGCTAGATGGCTTCATGCACATTGGGAAGAAAAAAAGGACGTGAATATACGTAACTGGAGAATAAGTGATTTTTTTTTTAATTCACTTATTTTACATTTTGAAAACTGAATTTTTAACTCCTTCCTGGGAAGCGAAGGCTGAACATAAAATATCAGTCGTAAATGCTGTACAGATAAATATGTAGATTACGTATGATTTTTGTGTGTGTGTGTGTGTGTTCCAAGCATCTTAGTATTTGCTGCTAAATTATAAAGCAAACTAAATTTAAATAAAAATTTTATTTCTTGAATATCTTCTTTTTTAAAAAAAACTTTGTTCTGTCAATAAATTAATAATAATATTATTAATAATTTAGTTTTTATTTATCAAGGTGAACATCATAAAGTTTTCAAATTATGTGAATTTAAAGAGTACTTAGTCATTTTGTCGTGTTTTGCCATTAACGTAAATCATTTTGTCAATAATTATAGCGCAAAGAAATTTTTCATCTTCTATTTTTTACTATAAAAAATTTATCCAATAATCTAATTTAATGGTAAAAATTATAGCATGTTCGTTATATATTAAATAATTTTTTTCTAATACCTTATGAAGGCCGATTAATATAAATAATTATCGTGTGAAGTTGTCTAACGTGTTTTCAGTTAAAACGTATTAAAAATAAAGCGGAAGTTAGGTATTCTTGAAAACAAGTACAAGTACAAATGTTAAGAAGTTTGGTTTCAGCAAGGTCAATTGTATAATTTTTAAAATGTGAAAAAAATAAAAAAAACTGCGACTGATGAATTCAGCATTCTAATGTAATTTTCCTTCTTGATTTATTTAATGCAGAGTAAATGAGCATTTATAAAAATAGATTCAATGTACGTCTCGAGATCTAACATTTATACATGTTTTGTTTCGATAAGATTCATGAAATGATCGAGAATAAGGTGTGACTAATACATCTAATTGTAGCTGAAAATGATACGTTATACTCTGACATTCAAGGTTTAAGTTTCAAAGGTTTTTGCTGTAGTGTAATGCAATCAAATTAACCTTGCAGTATCAATGATGGCAACTATGAATCTGAAAGTAAATTGTTTCTCTTTTGTTTAGTTTATGTCAGTTGTCGTCGTCTTCTTTTTAAATTTAAAAATGCGCAATGGACTGTAATTATATCCAACATTTGATAGGAAAACCTTTAATTTCATGCGGCATTCTTGATTACTATATAGTTGACCGGTTGCGTTCATCAGGCACTCTTGGTCGTTTATTGTTTATTATTCTTTTGAACGGCATTGCATTCGGTGAAATCCCAACTCGTTCTTTCTGATGTTGCTCTGTACTCAAAATCATAGGATTCATCCTCTGTCATTCTCCACTTCCCTCGTCAGTAATCCGTTTTACCGTTTCATCCTTTGCTGAAAACCTCACTATCCGAAAGAGGGAACACAGGTTTGAATAAATTTAAAAAATTTTTTTTTTATATACAAAACCAATAAATGACTTGATACAAGCTTAAATTCTCTGCTCACGTTATCTCCCTATTTCATCAGTCTAAGAAATTACCTTTTTATAGTAATGTGATATACCTATTTGTAGTAATTAAGTAATTTTGGAAGCATGGAAAAGCGTTATATACAATACTGTTTTCAATCGGCTGCTTGGAATTTATCAGTAATAATAATCTTTCCATACGGCTATATATTAAAGCTAAGATCGCTGAATCCTGATAGTTTGACCTGGTTCAAATTCTGACAAAAGGACTAGCCTACACAGCAGTTGCCTGGTTTTTCTCCATGTGTAACGTTAATAGGACCCAGTTTTCCTTAGCCTCAACGAAGGCATCACTTCACTTTAGCAGATTACCCTAGTGTGCATGATCGTAATCTAATAAATTCAAAAATTTAAATCTGTAAATTCAAAATTTTGATGCCTCAAACAAACGGCCCATTCTTTTTTTTTTTTTTTTTTTCTAATGGCAGATTGTGAACAATTACAAATGTAACCCAGTCCATTAATCTATACAAGGCCGGATGTGGTGGTCTCTTTATTATGGAGTCACCCTCCTAATAGGTGGGCCACCATCACCTTTCCTATGAAGGGACGGACAGTTACAACCATGCCTTCTCCGGGATTCAAACCCAGGTCCTTCGGCATCGCAGTCAGCTTCCCTGGCCACTATACCGACTGGGCGGCTGGGCCCATTCTTATAACACTAAAAAATGCAATAGGAATTCTGATAAAAACAGCGGCGGAGATGTTCATAATTTTAAATCAGAAATGGGGAAAAGACTTGTTCAGTGTTCACATGTCTCATAAAATACAGGAAAAATTTAATAAATTGATCAAATGCTTCCACTTTCGACTCTAGTAAGGCCAGCTAATTTGTTTTCTGCCTGCAGTACATTTTAATGATAGTGATCATTTTGCTACTACTTATTTAAACCTGGGTGAAGCAGTCTTAAAGTTTCTAATTATTTTTTTGGAAGGAAGGGTTAATGATATTGCGTTCATGTGATTTTTTTTTTTTTTTTTTTTTTTTGAAAATTTATAAGACTAACTCTTTATTTCTACGGTTGTAAAGTGAACCTCTTTTCTCCATCTAGACTAAAAAAGGAGTGTATCTTAGAATCACAGATTTTTTTTTTAAATTTAAATGGGTACATAACTCTTATAAAAAGTGCTTATAAAAAAAGGGTGACAAAATTAAAAAATATTTGCTAAATCTATTTGAATGTTTTATTTATTTTATTTTTTTTATTATTTTTTATTTTTCTTTTATTTTTTTTATTTTTTTTTATTTTTTAATTTTTTTATTTTATTTATTTATTTATTTATTTTTTTTTTGTTTTGTTTTTTTTGTTTAGGATCAATCCTCTTGCTGTTGGTACTGACATTAAGAGTTGCATTTTAAAATCGAATAAACATATGTATTCGGAAAAACTGTATTTGAAATTAATAACCAAATTAGATGTATGAAAGCAATTCTGTCCATCTAGATTTATTTACGATTCTGGTTCAAACGATGTTTACATACTTCTGCTACGATAATGCTTTTCTCTTAACTATTCATAAAGCTGACTTACGAAAGGTAGCTGTAATTGTTTTCATATACTTCATATCAAAATGAATAAAATGTATTATTATGAAACAGGTAATACAAAGCTACTGTTTCCAAACACTAATATTTGATGCAGACAGAGGCGTAACTAGGGTTTTCAGCGCCCCGGGACAACTGAAGATTTTGCGCCTCTTTCTCTGTGCCAAGAATGGAAAACATTTCATTCTAAAATTTCATATCATCTATTTGTCGCCCCCTGAAAGCTGCGCCCGGGGACAAATGTCCCCCCTTTGCCCCACCCTAGCTACACCACTGGGTGTAGAAGAGAAAGGAGAAATCAGAAATCACCAGTGTTTGTTATTCGCAAAGAAAGAATGACAGAGGAAAAAAGGCACGATTTTGAGCAAAGATTAATTGGAAAATGATGAATCGGTACCAAGCCATGTCACCGAGCAAAATTACTAATTTGCATATCGCATCAAGGCTTTTATTGTATCAAATGCAATATATGGTTTTATATGACTCCTGCTCATGTTGCCATCGTTCTGACTTGGTTAAAATTCTGTGAAGATGATCTTTTCTCATTGGACATATGGATGTGTGTGTGTGGGGATTTCAGTACGAACCACTAAGCAATGCTGTTGAATGTATTTCTTGTTCCTTCTTAATCAGCACATTTAGCTAATTACACTAGCAGTTACCTCTGGAAAATATAAATGAAATATATCAAATGTAATACTTTTCTATTCCACCTAAGATTTGAACCAATGACATTCTTATTTCATGGGCAGTTGAGCACTTGCTCTTGCTCAAAGAACTTACAGCGTAAGCAAATGGTTGCTGAATTTTATTACTTGAGACACCTAATTAATTGATACGATAAAAACATATCCAGAAGTGCCCTTTCACTGTCTTAAATCAAAGAAATTGAAATTAATATAGCTGTGTTTTTCATGGCCTGTAACTTTATTCACCTTATATTCGATGCTTTATAAGTTGGGATAAATTTCTAAAATATTCTTAATTTACAATTGATTGTTTCCTTACACTTTTAAGACTACAGAGGTAAATTATTTTGTTGGCTGACTTGAAAAACACTCACATTTTCAGTAGAGAAATAGCTAGAAACTATGTTGGGAAATGATTTGACTACAAAACATTGAAAATAGACGGAACATTTAAAATGAAGATCTAAGATTTTTATTTGTAAGTAATCATATATTACTAAGAAAAATAATGATGTGGTTAATAAGCATGTGGTTAAACGTGCATATAAATTATATTTTAATGTGTAGATAATAATGCTTCATGTAAGCCCTTTCAACTGTTAAAGTAATTATGTTATGAGATAATTCTGCTTATCTCATAATATAATTACTTTATTCAGCGTGGCGTGAATAGTAAGTTGATACCAAAATTACTTAGAAATGTCTCATTTAAAAGAAATTATGAGCAAATAACAATCATGATTAATCTCTTTACTGATCCATCAACCATTTGCTTACTTTTGTAGTGAATAATGAACAAGAGAGAGAATAATATTGGGAGGGGGAGTGAAAGTGTTGTTAGCAAAATGCTTTAAAAGTGTAAATTTAGCTTTTTACAGAGGATGATGATAACAAGTATCTGTTAAATTTTTAGTTTAAGTTCGTGCTCTTTGTATATCAAGGCAATAATTACTCTTGATAACATTGCTATTCAAATGATTAAAAATTTAATTTATTAATTACTAAAAATATTTTTAATTTTAGTTTCTGAATTTTTTTTTTTTTTTTTTTTTTTTTTTTTTTCAGGAACCACACTTACTACAACCAATGTGCCAATGAGTAAGTACCTTTTATTTTTCCCTATTTTCAATTTTTTTCACCTATTATCAAGTAGTATTAACCATTCTAAGTTTCTTTCCTAGGGAAGTTTAAATTTCTTGTCGTCCGAAAAGTTTCTTGAGAGATTTTACCAAAGAATTTTAATTTCATATAATCGTATAAAAATATCATTCAGATCGTATAAATATATCATATCGTTCAGAATGTAAATTATGTGTAATAAAAATCTCTGTAAAGACTTAATAATACTTAAAATAATTATAATAATTTAATGAGGCTTACATAAGAAGAAAGCAAGAAAATACGAGTTATTAATCGGCAAATCATCCAAGTCTGCGAAGGTTCAATCTACAATGATACATGCTCAATCCGATTTAGAAATTAGGCCAAAATAAGGAAAAAAAATGAAGTATAAAAATAAAAAATAATTAATATTTTTTCAGTTAAAATTGAAACTTAAATGATGGCCACAATATTTTGCAATAATTATACTTAAGCTTCGACCTATTTATCTTCTGGCCTCACTCAACTTATTCCTTTATAGTGCATGTTACTGTGCGATTCCTAATTCAGCGGTTCTCAAACTTTGGTACTGTCAGACGTATGGCAGCAACTTTCTAGGGCACATGAGCAACTGTCAAGCAAGATTTTTTATTATTATTTCGTTGAAAATTTAAAAGGGAAAAAAAGAGTGATTTCTCGTCAAAAGTTTCCTCAGAACACTGGACTGTCCTCAAGTGTTTTATGACCCCTGCCACGAAAACGTTGTGTACGCAAGGGTAGCTTTTCTTCCGTGGTATAATAAGTAAATAAGTAAGACACAATAACACGCCGAATAAATACTAATTCAGAAGTCAAACAACAAAAATCAGCGTTAATTTACAAAATTTTCACAGGACTAGTTTCGATGGTTTTACCGAACCATCATCTTCAGCTGCAAAACCGCAAATGAACAAGATAGGAAATAATGTTTAGATAAGATAAGAAAGCCTGGACAAGAATAAGCAAGTGGCGCCATCTGTTGGCGAAACCAGAAACTAAAACATAATTTCTCTAAAAGCCGAAGGCAAATTTGGATTGGAATTAGGATCGTTAACTAGAACAGAAAGATTTTTATGAATGTGCAATGCCTCTAGAAAATCCAGTTCTCCAATAGAAGATGTTTTTTGAATAATTTTGGCAGCAGAAAAATTGAAAGTGTGATTTTCGGACCAACAATGTTGAGCAACAGAAGACTTCTGTGTTTCCTTTTTTCTAACATATGCCTCATGTTCTTTGACGCGAAATTTTAAGGCTCTCTTAGTTTGGCCAATGTACTCGTAAATTAAACCGCACTGGCAAGGAATCCTATAAATACCCCAGGAATTCATATCCGGAATGGGGTCCTTGAGTATAGAAGTTGGAATTTTATTGATGGGAGAGTAAACAACCCGAAAGTTAAATTTCTGCAAAATATGTGCAACTTTATAGCTAATTGATGGAAAGAAGGGAATGACAACAGAATTTTTATAATCTCCTAAAATAAGAGTGTGGCTTTTAGTGTGTTGAGATGAGAATTTTTTAACTGCTTGATTAATAATGTTGGGTGAAAAGCCCCTGTCAATAGCTATTGCTTTTAAATAATTTAGTTCTTCATCAAGGGCTAGTTTGGAGGAGCAAACTTGAAGAGCACGGAAAACATAGGAATAAAATGAAGCTAACTTTTGTGTAGTCGGATGACATGATTTAAAGTGTGGTGGAAGGCAAACCGATGAAGGTTTACGGTAAACTGTAGTACTGAAGTTGGATGTGTTACGTGTGACCAGAATGTCGAGAAACGGAAGAGAATTGCAAGTCTCAAGTTCAAAAGTGAACTGAATAGCAGGATCAATAGAATTCATTGTTGAAAGAACTCTATTTAAATCATCTTTATTACCTTCAAACAGGGTAAAAGTATCGTCTACGTAGCGGAACCATGCCGGGAAGTTTAAAGTTTCAAACAATTTTGATTCATAATAATGCATGTAGATATCAGCCAGGATGGGACTGAGGGGGCTTTCCCTGGCTAGTCCCTCAGTTTGCTGTAATATCTTATTTTGGAAAACAAAATGTGTTTGTCTCAAACAGAGTTGAGTGAGAGGAAATTAGCTCATCAATTTCGATGCAAGAGAAATGAAATTCGCGAAGTCTGGTTTATAGACATCTTAATGCACCCCCCACTGGAACACTGGTGAATAAATGATTTTACATCAAAAGAAATCCATTGAGTAAATTTCGAGGAGGCAATGTTTTTAACTTTTTTTACAAACTCTAATTGAATTTTTTATGGTGTAAATGTTTATTGTCTAATAGAGTGGAAAATCTAGAAACTAAATATTTAGCTAAAGGATACGAGGCAGTACCTAAATTTGATACAATAGGGCGGAAAGGAATACCACTTTTATGAATTTTGGGAAGAGCATATAATCTGGCACAATTCGCAACAGATGGGATAACGAATGTTTTAAGTTGCTTGAAATGATTTGCGAAGATTTGATCGCAGTTTTTATTTTGGATAAGTCCGAAGGTGAAGGATCTTTAGGGATCGGATTATATGGTCCTTCGTTAAGAGTTTAGTGACACCATCGATGTAAGTGTTCTTATCCATGACGACTATCTGGCCACCTTTGTCGGCCTTTGAAATGACATAATCCGGGTTAGAATGAATTTCGCGCATTGTAGCTCTTTCTCTCACAGTTAGATTTGGTTTCAAAGGTTTATTATTGAATTTCGCATTATGAGCGATAAGATACCTAATCATTTCTTTCTGTGAATCTGAAACTTTACTGAACTTGAAAGCTTTTTTCGATAGGAGCCAAAATCTTTGGAATCGAGGGTTTACAGGTTTGTGAGAAGTTAAAATTATATTTTAGAATTCTCTCTTGTTCTTCTGAAAGACTAACATTAGAAATATTAACTATTGGCTTGATGTTTACAATGGGAAGATTTTTGAACTACTTGAACTGGAAGACTGTCCTTCGCTTTTAGAGAATTATGTTTTAGTTCTGGTTTCGCCAACAGATGGCGCCACTTGCTTATTCTTGTCCAGGCTTTCTTATCTTATCTAAACGTTATTCCTATCTGTTCATTTGCGGTTTTGCAGTTGAAGATGATGGTTCGGTTAAACCATCGAAACTAGTCCTGTGAAAATTTTGTAAATTAACGCTGATTTTTGTTGTTTGACTTCTGAATAAGTAAATAAGTGCTACAACATGCCGGATTTGTGCTACTCTTTTCTTGAAAGTTTCAACTGGATAACACGGAATATGAGAATGCTACGTAACACGTAACAAACACACCTTTTTTGCAAGGGTGAGGAAAGATTCATACATTTTCCAACTCTTAAATTACGATTTTAAATTTATTATTTTAAAAAAATTGAACTTTTCTTTTTAAAGACCAAAGGGCGTTAGCCCAGAAGGGCTATTAATTTCGCTTTGGCATTTTGTGTCGAAAACACTTAAAAGTCTGAATCACTTTTCAAATTGTTGCCACCAGATATTATCGCCCTGTATTATATTTAAAGAAATTAAATAAAGAAGAATCTGCATAAAAGTATGTATCTTTTCTCGCAATGTGGTAAAACAAAGGTACCTAGAGCCATTACATTTTGATTAATGGATCTCTGCTCCCGAAAATGGGCACCTGAATATGGGCAAGTCCAAACTTGGAAATTGTTTTATTATCTATTTCATATTTTGTAAAGCATTGATGAATTTTTGACTAAGAAACTCAAAGATTTCAAAGCAAGCAATAGCAACACTGCACGAAAAAAAAAAAAAAAAAAAAATCTCCATCCCGCGAGACTGTGTTTCGAAATTTCTGAAGATATATTCTTTTTTAATTATTTGCGATATTAACAAAACGTTAAAAAAAAAACGATATTAACATAACACACAAAACGTTAAAAAATCGCCCCTTTGGGTGTAATATAAAATCTAAAAGCTTTCAGACTTTTTTTAATTATTATTTTTGCACAGATTTCTAATATTGGAAATGCACAGCACATTTTTTTCAGGCAGTAAACTATTATATTTCTTATTTCATTTTATTAACTGGTCATAACAATTTTCAAGAAAGGATTTAAAGACTCAAATATGATTATTAATAACTTTTAAATATTTTATTTAAAGACTTTTAAAAATACTTGGGAAGGTTTTCAAATAGTTATAAATCTCTACGGTAAACTTTTCGTCATAATATTATATGAAACTGAGGATTTAAAACTCTAAGGGTTTTAAAAATTTCAAATCTTGTGGTAATTGCTAGTGCCACATTATTAAAATATATCTAATAATAACCTGGTAAAGTAATTGCCGTGCTATAATTAAACCATAATGTCATAAGCGTTATTATCCAACTATAATATTCGCTGATCTTTTGTGATACATACTAAGATTCATACTTTAGCATAATTTGTTAGTTCACTTCTTATATGCATATTTGTTTCGCAAAAGCTATATGAGGAATTATTTGGCAAATGCTTGCAGTTGCAGGTAGCTTTACATATTCCTCAGTGTCTTGAGAAAAATGATACAATTGCTATAGAGTCATTAGGTCTCATATTTTGAAGCAGGATACATAAAAGATGAGCAAGTGCCCTCGCTGGGCCTCGAACGTGGATCTCTCGAGTACGCGCGGAGTGTGTTACCGTTTCACCAAAGGCATGCCCTGGAAGGAGAATTCACCACGAAGGCATGCCCTGGAAGGAAAAAATACCTTACAGTATACTCATCCTTTTAAAGGCTGACTGAGAATTAGGGAACCGAGGCGCCAAATTCTGGTGGTGGCAAATTATTATGTACCACGTTTTAGTTCAGGAGCTATTGTAGACGTTGGGATATTTTGAAGCAGCATACATGAAAAATGAGCAATGCCTTCGCCGAGATTCGAAACTAGACCTCTCGAATACGCGCGGAGTTGTGCTACCGTTACACCACAAGAGCATGCTGGAAGGAGGGAGAAAATACATGGCATGGCCT